ATATATATATATATATATATATATATATATATATATATATAATATACATATATATATATATATATATATATATATGTATATGTATATATATATATATATAGTTTTATTGTTGTCGGTGATGAAGCCGACCAAAGGGACCACATCCTCGCTCGTGATCTCTGATCACTGGAGATGGCATCTATTCCCTCCTGATATGTGCAGTTCATCGCAGAAGAGATATTGCAGCTGCTTCTTATCTTCTTTTCCTTTCTTGCTTGGAGTGTGAAGCATGCTTGCGCAGAAGAATGTTTCTTTCTCTTACCCCAAGTTGCTCCACTCCTACTTTGCGCTCTCCTCTAGAGATGGCCCTTTTCTTCCTTGTTACTTCAAGGATCCAATCTACAGCCCCTTCAGTCATCCTTTTTTGAGTGGTTTCATCAGTCTCCACAGCTGGAGTTTTACCCCCGTTGGTCTCCTGGCAGGGGTGGTGGACTTGGTGGTGCGGGTCAATACAGGGCGAGCCTCCTCCCATCGCGTCAGCTACCACTCAAATCAAGATTCTTTTAGGATAGGATGCAAAGATTTCCACTCAGTAGCAGACAACCGAAGGGACAAGGAAGCGACGTCAGCTGTTGTCTCGTTAGTCGACTTGTCTAAGGAGATGATGCAATATATATAAAAGAGCGATTGACTTCCTGCAATGCGTCGGCATTCTAGTGGCGATCTACTCGAATCGATCCCAAATGTATAAATCTGCTAGATTTATTGTAGCCAAAACAAAAAACACAAAAGGAAAAGAAAGCCTTGATTGAGATAGATCAACAAGTACATGATGGATACTATATATGGTGAGAACAAGAAGAACAAGTATATGATCATCCGAGGCGAGAGGTAATGCTGAGGGCGATGACAGCAAGCTGGAATAGGTCGTGGTTCTCCTTCACCAGCGGCGACTTGATGCTGCCCTCTTTGAAGCTGTCCTCGCACTCCCCGGGCGCATCCACGGCGCTGCTTATATACACGTTGGCGTCGCCGTAGCGACCGGCCTTGATCAGCTTGACGGAGTCCCTGAGGCTTGCCATGGCGTCGGAGTACAACTCCCGGCAAGTCTGCAAGCAGGACTTCCTGTAGCGGCTCATCTTCTTGGCCTTCAGCAGCGTCTTCACCCTCGACTTGGCGTGCTTCGCGTCGGCCTTCGCCAGCCTCGCCGCTATGATGGCGAGCCCGCGAAGGTCCGCGTGCTTGCTCTTGGACACCGACTGCAGCGACTCCACGCAGAAGGTGTAGTTCACGTTGGGGTCGCCGTTGGCGCTGTGCTTGCAGGTCTCGCTGACGATGCTGTGGTGGTGGTGGTGGTGGGCGGCGGCCATGCTTTGATGCAGCACAATTAGGAAGACGAGGAGGAGGAAGAGGAAGACGGACGGAACTCTTGTCATTGGCTGCTCTCTTCGGCGGTCTTCTTCACATGACCTAACATGGCGTGAGGGACATATAAGGGGAGCGGTGAGATTTACGTGGACGAATTCGATCGAGCACGTTTGTATCCACCTACCTATTATCTTTCCCCTAACCAGCAGTTCCTTTCTTGCTTGACCACCGAACCTTCTTCATAAGATGTGACTTAGGAGCAGCTAATTAATTTGCGTGGAGGAAGAAGAAACTTCTGAGAGAAGCGACAGACGGTGGGCTCTCGTCCTCAAATATTCTCTCAAGAACAGAAGTAAAGCATATATCTAAAGGGTCATCCACGTTTGCATGTACAAGTCTTTCATCAGAAGAAAAGTTCTTGGCTACAGCATACCGAAGATCGAACTTTGTCTTTTTCTGAGAGTGATCAGCTTCTCCTACTGAGGACTGTGCATCTCAACAGGACCCAAACAGCAAGTTGCATCTGTGATACAAACCAGGAGTATGGATGGAGAATCTTAAGGACATACGATTTAAAGAAAGAAGGACATTCTGAACAAAAAGTGAAGCTGAAGTTATGTTCGAGTCAATGCATGTCGGTGAAGGACACCTACTTCTCTGTCAGGAGAATGAAGAAGAAGCACCATCTGACATATTTTTCTGGTGGTGTTTTAATGCAACACAAGTATGCATGTTTTCAATCTATTTTCAATGGTTAAGGACTTTGGGACTGATCGCAGGAAGATGTGCAGTGGTTCATGGTGTTGTTTCACATGCATGATCTAAGAAGCACAAATCTGGGAACCTAACTCATGGTGATTTGGATTGCACCTCTTCGGAGATCACACTACATATCAACCACCATGATCCACAAGGATTTCCAGTAGATGGTAAACCAGTGACGGCTAGAAAGATAGATCACAAAGCTTTCCATACTTGAAGCATAGGTCTCTGTGTTAGACTCCAAACCGTGATGTCCTCATTTTGGATCATTCATGCATTATCTATAGTTACATGGTCAGCATTTTGGATCAAGACAATCCACATCTACATTGTATGAAAAGGATGGGCACCTTTGCCATTAGAGTGAAAGATTGACTGTTCGGTGGAGCATTCTCAAGGAAAGCGAAATCTTAACTATCACAATATATACTCCAAGGAAGAATGATTGCTAATCAAGTCACCTTTTGATCCAAATCAACCACCCTTTGTGTTTAGATAAAAGCTCTTCTCCTTGAAGATAAATTGCATTTATCTCATAAATCACGAACGTGTTAGGAAATAATGGCATGTATTGTTGTTCGTAATCATATTATTCTTTTCATTTTTCTCTTACTATCCTACACTTTATTTTGCTAACATAAAATTTGTTGGTTGATCAGGACTACTATTCATATATCTCAAAAGAATAAGATATTAAATTGTAAATCAAACACATGTTTCACACCCTCACCAAAGTCCAAATCATATCATAATTCGAGAAATAATCCTTTCTCACTTAGATTTTCTCATCCTCGAGAAATAATTGACGGTTTAAATCGTTGATCTAAAATACTTAAATTTATATTAATTATATAAATATTATTTTCACCTCATAAGCTTATCAGCATTAGATTTAGGTTGCATAAGAGAACATCCTTAACGAGCCTTTCCGCCATGATTGGTGGATGACCTTCGCAATGCAGCAGAGTCCACCAAATCCATATGAATCTTTTAATACTGGTGAAGTTCCAGGGTGCGTGGCATCCCACTGCTTGTTGCAGTTCCAATCATGGAGGCAATCACAGGATTCAAGGTCCCCAGAAGTCACCGCGCATCCTACGTGTTGGGAACGATGTCTTGAAACTGGCAGAGCACGAATCAAACAGTGCCATCTTACTTGATGGCACGTCCTAAACTAAGCGATGCATTCACGCATGATTTCCTTCCTATATAACATGCAGGCATCGACATGCTTCCTTGCTTCACCACCAACCATCCTTCTCCTCCTCCTCCTCAAAGAAGATGGCCGCAACGTCCGGCTTCGCCGCCGTGTTCGCGATCGCTTCCCTACTGTGCCTCACCATAGCCCCAACCCGCGGCGCGCTGCAGGCCGGGTTCTACAAGGGAAAATGCAACGGCACCGACGTGGAGGCCACCGTCAAAAGCATCGTCGCCGCAAGGTTTGCACAGGACCGATCCATCGTCCCCGCCCTCCTCCGGCTGCACTTCCACGACTGCTTCGTTAGGGTATGCTGCATGTTTCCAGACAGACACTAAACGGTCTTTTAGCTGGATGATTGACTCCTTCTTCCACGTACCAAGGGATGCGACGCGTCGATATTGATAGATGGGAGTGGAACCGAGAAGACGGCCCCCCCCAACTTAAGCGTGAGAGGCTACGATCTCGTTGATCAAGCGAAGGCACAACTAGAAAGTACATGCCCTGGCGTTGTTTCCTGCGCTGATATCATCGCGATCGCAACAAGGGATGCTGTTGTGCTGGTACGTAAGGGTTTCAACGTCGATCTTACGTGCATGGCTTCGGCACTTAGTAGATCTGAACGCTTCAGGGTGGTGGGACGCAATATACGTATGTGGTGCAAACGGGGAGGAGGGATGGCAACATCTCGCTCGCTTCCGATGCGAGCGCAAATCTCCCGGGAGCTTCATTGTCGGCCTCTCAAGCTATTGCGGCGTTCAGGGCGAAAGGGCTTAATGCTTCAGACACGGTTCTGCTACTAGGTAGCTCGAAGAGACGACGTCCCATGATGACTTGGTATCTGTCTCATAGTAAGTGATAAAAGCTTGACAGCCTCTGTGTATGTAAATTTGCAGGAGGTCATACGGTTGGGATCACGCACTGCTCGTTCATCCTGAATCGCCTGTACAACTACAATGGATCGGGCAAACCGGACCCGGACATGGATCCCGCTTTTGTCGCCATGCTCAAGTCGAGGTGCCCTCAGACGTCGGCGGTGGACAACAGCGTCTTCCTTGATAACGGAACGCCAAGCACGGTGGACAACAGCTACTACAAGCAGCTCCTGGCGAAGAGAGGCGTTCTCAAGGTGGATCAGAACCTAGCCATGGACGCTGCGACCAACGGCACGGTCAAGTCCTTGGCCAGCGGCAGCTTGAGCTTCCCCTCTCTGTTTGGGAACGCCATGGTGAAGATGGGCAGCATTCAAGTGCTCACGGGAACGCAGGGGCAGATCCGGAAGTCTTGCCGGGTCGTCAACAAATGATGCTGAGTCGTGGACTCGCTGTTCTTCTTCTGCGGCTTTCGGCCATTTCTTTTGGTTTTGATTTCTGAGGGTGATGTCTTTGCACTGTTTCCGGTTCCTTTCATGCAAACCCGAACACTTCATTTTGTTCCATCATCGTTTTCCTCGCGACTGAATAGTACTACTCTGCAACACTTCACAAGCATCATGATCCTGTTAACATACAAGTCAGGAGGCATACAGCCCCCAAATGCAATTATGCTTGGTTGCAGCATTTTCTGTTGAAAGGCAATCAGATTCTAATTATATATCAACAACAGTAGTACTCGTGGCCATTGTGTATGCAAAACTACGTAGAAATTGTGCTCAAAACCTTTCAAGAATCACCGTCCAAGTAAATCCATCATCAATCATCAGTGTCTTCAGGACTTCTGCAAAATAAAAGACATATTACTCTTTTTAAAAGTATAATACTTTTTTTTTATCCAGCCGATTCGGAAGTTCCAATATTGTGGGAAAAAGGATCTGTTTACCACATCAGATTATCAACTATGTTAGTCGAGTAGACTAGACCATTTCAAATGTCTTGACCTGCTCATCAACAATGTCAAAATTTCTACACGTTCTCCTCAAGGATAAACAGAATGAGAGTCACAGGCCTCTGTTGTTTGCAAAACTGATTTCCTTTGATAGGGATTAGCTGAATCCCTTTGGTGGACTTTGGAGAGAGAATGCTCTTTCGCTTGGATCAGAAAGAGCATTGATTCTAACCTCATTGATTCTAGTGTCACCATCAGTTTTGCTCTCATCTGAGGTTTCTGTCTGCGGATTATCCAGTGAAAGGGAACTTATATTGCCAACATTAAGCTTTTTGTAAATTGCTAGAGCCTGAGCTATCATAGAAGAAGGATTTCCAACAGAACTAGGAAGTAGAAGTGTAGTTCCCTGAACAAAGAAAGGAGAAAGAAATATAAATGAGAAATCCTTGCCGGTAAAAGGGCTTTTAACAAAGTTTTACAGTCTCGTTCCTCACCTCCTTTGCTATGCAACCAAATGCTGTAATATATTGCTCAGCAATTCTTAAACTTGCTGCCTGCAGAAAGGAACAAACTTCCATAATTCAGACATGTAGTAATCCTCAAGATGTTAAGTGAAAAACTGAGCATGATGAGAATGTACAAAATGGGAGAAAAAAAGAAGCACAAGGAGATCTTACTTCAGCACCTCCCTCAGCTTTCATGGCCTCTGACAATATCTTTAAGCCATCAGCAGTAGCCTGTGATCTAGCAAGGATTGCTTCAGCTTCTCCTGATTTAAGAAAAAAATATTTAAAAAATCATGGAGAAACATTTTAGAAGCTTAACACATTTTCAGCTTCATATTCTTAAGTTGGAATGACCATGCTTTTAGCCCTATATATTTTGAAAGATAATATCAATATCTCACGATAGGACACCAGACGCTATGTGGTGATGGACCAGACCGCTGAAGCAGTCATACAATGTCACCCTTTATTCAGTTGCTTATGTGAATTTTTTACGTAACACTCAGACTAAAGTAATAGTCAAACTTACTACAAAATGGGGGCTTCAATTCTAGTGGCTGATCGCATCACCAATAACTAGTTATTCACCACATTTCACCTGTGCATCCATATGTCCCCCTTGAACATGCCCATACCACCCTTAGCTTCTCTACATATGTGCCAATTCATAAGGTTCTTCAGAGGCTAGGTACTCAGAGTCAGCGGGCACTTTAGAGGCCGGAATTAATGTCAGTGCCCATGCTCATATTTATCTCAGTCAAGCATCTGCTACCAGTAGTACATTTGTGGTAGGATTTACTCTAAAACTGCTTCAAAAATGTTGCCAGCAAATAATGAAGGCATCACTGCATAATGAATTAAACAATTTCCGGATAAAAACGATCATATTATGCATGTTTTTGCTCGTCTCTTCTTTGTTAGATCATGTATATTTGATATTGATTAAAAATTTAATCTGAAGGCCCCAGACTGCCGTGAATAGCCTTACAAGCACAGCAGTAAGATTAAACAAAACCCTGCCATGTAATTGGTAATCCACCTAGCAAACCTACTACAACCGTATTTTCACACAAGTTACTCATTCTTATGGAAGTTTCCACAGAAGCCCACCCATTATTTGCAAAACACTCCCACACAGAATTCTGACCGGTATCCTTACACCGACTACAAAGTGCCTCTTTCACCTTGTGCTCCATGACTCATAAGAAGATGCAACAGAACAAGGTAATCAATTAATAATTTCAAGAAAATAACTTTGTCAATCTGCATGCAATGTCATTTTCTCAAGTTCATTATGCATCATCCTCTATCAACCTAGAAACTTGAATAACTTTTGTTCCACATTAGTACCTTATCAAACATTTTTCAATTCTACGGAAAGATTTCATTAATCTTCCAACATATTTCAAGCATAATGTGCCAAAAAAAAAGGTTCTGTTATTGCAGATGATTAGTTCGTAGAGATAATATCTTCTTTTCGGACCAGAAACTATGTTTTATTGCAGATGATTAGTTTGCAGAGCTAGAAAAATAAAAGGAATTAGACATGATACCTTTAGCTCTATTAACCTGGTCCATCATTGCAGCTTCTGATGCCAAGATCACAGAATTCTTTTTTCCATCTGCAATGTTGATGTTAGCTTGTCTTTCTCCTGTTCAATTAAGAAGTCATGCTTTAGTATTTTGATTGGAAATTAATGGGCGATAAAAACAGTATGTATCTTCTATCCAAATACATACTTCTAGCTCCAAACTAGTTTACAACACAACAAGCTTGCCAATGCTTCACAGACATTTTTAAAATGGCATCCTAAAGAAAACATTTTGCCATGGAAGAGATAACTTGGTGCAGGAGAAAGTAATGATCAGAAAAAGGCTTGAAAGAAGCACCTTCAGACTCAAGAACTTGAGCACGTTTTCTTCTTTCTGCTTCAGCTTGCATCTCCATAGCTGCCTTGACTCCTGGTGGAGGAGATATATCCCCTAGAAGAAAATAACAGTAAAAAATAATTAAGAAGAAAGCAAATAGTAAAGTTTGTTGGTAATATGTCATACTAAATAAATAGGTTCAAGAACTTACGTATTTCATAACGCAGACATTTAAGGCCCCAGTCAGAAGCAGCCTCGTTGATTGCTCTCTATGGAGGACAAAATATAAATGAAACAAACCCAAAAAACTTAAAAAGAACTACTAATAGCAATCTACGGTTTCAAAGATTCAATAAACTTCTCCACAACTTTCCTATGCGTATGTAATTAACTTACATTTACATTTCACCAAATGGTGGGCAGCTGGAAAAGGAAATGCTACGAATTGTATATTAATAAGACATTTCAGGTAAGAGTGAAAACAATTGGTGAAAAGAAACAGGAAGTCCAACCTAATAGAAAGAAATATGAACTTGAAGGTTAAGCACAGCTAGAACCCCAGGAAATTTCTGCCCATGGATCTCAAGTTTCTTTATTTACACCTCTACTACTATTGTCTTATCTCAAAATGATTTCTTAAATATATATTCTTACGAAAAGTCAGGATTGATTGCTCTAGTCACTGCTACCAATGATTCAAAAGTTGCACTGTCAAGACATCAGGAAGATAGCAAAATGACTAAAAAAGAGATCCAGAACCTAGCTGAGTAATCAAATGATCTAAATGGTCCATCTAAGGCATGTATAAGATTATATCGAGTGACTCTACACTGGCAAACAAGGCAAAACAACGCTAGTTCAACACTCTAATAAATTCTGGATCGTTTAGCCTTACATCATTTCCAACCAATAATCCCCTTCCATGATCTTAGAATCTTGCCCTCTTTTGACATAACTTCTTTCTTGTTTACAATGCCCTTCATAGAAGTTTCTTTACTGTTGCTTACCTCCAAAAATATCGATACCAATTTAAAAAACATCAGCAAACTACTAGCTATCAATAAGAGCTTGAGCCTTCCACGTCGGAAAGTAGAGTTCACCTATACACAAATATGAGCAACAGAAGTCTACTATTCATCCTATTTTAATTTTGATGACTAAATGCTACAAAAGTTACTGTACTGCACCTTCTACATGCAGGCTATTATCTTCTTTATGTATTTCAGATGTACAGGGATTGACATTTCTACAGGGATGCACAGTATCCAAATCTGAACTTCAATGAAAATGAAAAATTAAGCAGAAAAATACATAAATAATGTAGATAAAACACAACAAATAAGAGCAAAAACTGATGGCCTAGTGCATGAGACTCCCATCAATGCAAGATTTCCAAGGGTCAATGTGACTTTAATCTTGCAAGCATGAGGCCACCTAGGTCACCCTCTATATCCGAGATAGGCATTGTCCAATTAGGTTCAGCCTAAGCAAGGGTGAAATTGCAAAGTAAGTAGACAGCAATCCTACCACAATGTTTTCGTTGAGCGTGTCCCTCTCCTCAAAAGTCTTATCAAGAGTGATCTTACCCAGCTCACTCCTCATTGTCGTCTGTGCCAGTTGGATCACTGCAAATATTGGGTTCTCCACGCCATAGGACGCAAGGATTGGATCAACAATCTGCACGAGTTCACAGTATTAAAAACCCAATGACATAAGCATATGAAAATCATAAAATCTAGAGAATTAACAGTTCCATGATGCAGAGCAAAACAAACAACGTAGAGCATCAAATTTAGAAGATTCAAAACCACAAAAGAATTCATTGTAAACGATATTACCTTAACATAAAGGACCCCGTCGATCAGGATGCTGACATTGTCCTTGGTGATGGCAGATTGGTCGGGAATGGGGATGGCCTCCTCCTTGAGGGAGTGGACGTAAGCGATCCGGTCAACCAGGGGAACAAGAAGGTGGATTCCAGAACCAAGGGTCCGCAGATACTTTCCGAATCTCTCGACGATGTAAGCCTTCTTCTCCGACACGATGCGGATGCCCCAATTGATGGGCAGCCGCGGCTGCTCGTACCTGAGCGATCCCTCGTCCCCAAACGACCTCTCGTCAAGGAACCAAAAACAAAACAACAAGGAATTAATAGCTAGGGTTTTAAGGACAGGATTCACCAACCTGGAGAAGGGGAAGTCGTCGCGGGAGCGGCCGCCGCCGCGATAGTGGCGGATGAGAGGGAGGGGAGGGGAGAACAGGAAGACGGGCTCTGCTCGGCCGAAGAATAGGGCGGAGGAGGCGGCGGTGAGAGAGGAGCGGAGAGGGAGGTGGAGAGATTTCGCTCTCATCATCGCCATTTCTTCTCCGTGTGCGTCGGGAGTCTCGAGGGGAGTAGGAAATTAGGGGAATGCCAAATGGTGTTTGGGAAGGAGCTAATGAAGTGTCGATACGCAAAGATAAATCAAAGGGTCCACATGTACTCATCATCCCTTGAGCCCAGTTCTCAAAGCAAAAAACCCTACCCGCCGGTCCCAGCGGCAAACCCCTTCTCACTGCTATATACATTTAAGGGCAAGTGAGATCACCGTCGGGGCAATGGGTGATGAAGAGAGAAGAGGAGGGAAGGTCGTGCATTTTGTCGAACAGTTGGAGGATGAAGACGTTACTGTCGTCGTAGACCACGGAGAATCCGGAGGGGGGTGACTGTGAAGGTAGACGCCAAGGTGGTGGAGGTGGAGGGGCCGCGCGGCAAGCTGGCGCGCTACTTAAAGCACCTGAACCTGGACTTCCAGCTGCCGGAGGGCGGCCCGGGGTTGTGGTGGACGACTGGTTCGGGTCGCGCGGCAGCACTGCCGCCATCCTCATCGGTATCAGCCACGTCGACAACCTGATCATTGGTATCGCCAAGGGCTATCGCTACGACATGCGCTTCCATCACCAACAACAGCTCCTGCATTGAGATCCACAACTTCCTCAGAGAGAAGAAGGTTATCCATCTTCCTCGCTCAGCTGATCTAGTCTTGTCTGGTGGATTTGTCTTCCATATTGTATAAATTAATTGATTAGCTTGTAGTAATTGGGACGGAATAATATTTATCAGCTCGTAGTATTTGATATGACAAGAGGATTTGGAAGCCCTTATGGACAGCAATGGCTCAGCATTTAGAAGGTATATTGAAACTGGGTTTGTTAGAGAATGTAATAATTGTCTTCCCATTAATAGAAAATTTCAACATAGTGTAGAACATTGGAAAAAGACCGATATGATCTCCTCTTTGACTCTTGGAGCTAATTGACTGGGTTCCATCACTAAGCAAGAACACCTTGGGTAAAAAATTTATCAGGGAAATGCTTTAATTTCGTGACTTGTTTGATAGCTAGCCAATGATAACCTGTCAATTCCCTTCTCCATATCAACTTTTATAAGGATTTGGGGAATTCCACCTTTAGAATGACACATTGTGTGAACCAACTCTTGTGGTATCATAATTGGGTCATGCAAACTCCTCTTTAGGAAGTTTGATCGTTCCTGTTAGGAAGTTCCTCCCAGCAGGATCTTGACTGCTTTCCAACTTTAAGATATGAATTCCACCTGGGAACTTATTAGTAAGTCAAGTGCGAAATTGCCCTTTGCTTTAATTGATCTCATTGGGGTCAAAGGAAACTTCATCACCCAAAGAACTTTTAATATGTCAACAAGATTATGTGAGAGAAGACTTTCCTTTGTCATTCCATGGGTAAGCGACCCCTTTGAAAACTTTAGCCTATGAGATTGCAGAAGAGAAATTCTCTCCTGAAGAGAAGGATCAGGAGGCTGTCTTGGTTGCGTCAATTATGGAGATAGAATAGGTCTCTCAGGTTTTTTAGTGGACTGAGCAGTTGCCATGTTGTATGTACTGTAAACTCAATGCTATTTCATTCATTTTTTAACACATTTTTTACTGGCATGAACAAAGTTGGATTGGTATCTTTATATCGTGGTTTTTATTTAAACATGAGTTTTTGAAATCCTTCCTTTGTTTAATCTTTCCATGTTCCACAACTTCCTAATGCTGCCTTTGATATTGATATATTCTTTGTGCTTTATTGTTTGTGAGAGTTTGGATGAATCATAACCTTTTGTACATTTGCGCTCTTAAGACCCCATATTGGGGAAGACTCTTGCATTGAGACTTTCTCTATGTCAATTCTTCTGATCCCTTTTTATTTATATGGTTTCATCGGATAAATATCTTTCTCTGTGTACTGCTCTAGTGTCCTCTTAGTGAAGCCTTAGCTCACTCAGAAACATCTATGAATGTGCAGTGCAGAGAACATCATATGTTTCTCGAAGGCCCTTCCTCCTCATACTTATCTTATGGTCTAGATTATCCGACTTGGTTGACCTAACATAAAGGCCTAGCAGTAATCTAGCATTAAGCTATAGCCAGTCTCGCATTCAAAACAAAGTAGCTTATCCATATTTTTATTCAACTGATAATAATATTTTGTGAAATTTATTACTCTCTAGAGATTTAGCATTTCAGTGTGTTTTACTCATTATATTATTGTCATATACAAACATTTGCAGTATGTGTTGTAGTTTGTAAATAAAATTGACTTGAGAAAACAGATGATACAAGTACAATACATCATTATCCTTCTCAAAGCAACTAGTAAATCCATGTGCTGCATGTATATATTTGGTATGTTTATGCATAAATATATAATTTTCTTGATATATTGCTACTATCCAGATTACATTTTTATTTTTAACCAATTTTCATGATTCAGCAGTCTTAATAGTCATATATAAGCTTGTAAACTGCAATCTCTTTAAATTTTTGGACTATATTACCACTAGTTGTATCTGCTAGTTCTTTATGACTCTGACCCTTGTCTTGGATGTTTGAATGTGTTCTCTCTGCCTGGTGGGAGATGGAGATTTGATCCCATCCTGCGCAAGCTGCACATTTTCGCACCTGTTTTGGTGGTTAACTTTCCTTTGTGGGCTTCAATGAGAATGATTTTATACCTTGTGATCTGAGATGACCTTCTTAGGCCTTGTGGCCTATGTTGCACAGCCTAGTTCCCCTTCTGAAAGAAAAGAAGTGTAAGTTTCCCATTGTTTTTTTCTATTATTGGTTCACTGAAACTTAACATTTTCTGAATAGTCTTTTCTTCCAGTGGACATACTCTTCTCATTTTTCATTTTTAAGACTTAATAAGCTTTTAATTTAAGTAGCTAGCTAACAATTTTATTTCTTGTTCTCAGATCAGTAGCAGAATTGACATGAAACTAGATTTCTCTTTTTGTATCTTTTTTCTTGATAGCATCATTTCTATTGACATTGTTTTTCTTCAGTGCTGATGTTGCCTTCTGATTTTGATATTTTTTTCCTGTATCAAATTTAACTAACCTCTTATCATGTCTCTATTGTTGCGCTTAACCTTTTCTTTTTTTTTTCTGTTGTCACCCATCTAAAGTAAAATTCTACTCAAAAGTAGATGCCTAGGTATGTTGATCAATTTGTATGTACAGCTTATTGAGTTACTGTTTTTTAAGTAAACTTCCTTTGCTAGTTATTTTCCTTCTAATCTTCCTTGGCCATAATTGTTAGACTGTAGCATCTATATTTATAGAAGTTCAGCAGTGTCCTTCTTCATGAATCTGAAGTGTTGTACTAATGCTTGAGTTGTAATGATCTTGCACCACTTTTCTTCCGCATACTGTTATTTGTATGTCATATTAAGATTAACACCATGGCTCTTTTTTGTTTTTGCTCTCAGAAATGTCATGTAAAGAAGGGCATCAGGAAGTCCTTGGATGACATCTATGTTAGTGGGAAGGGAACAATGACTGGTGGAATATAAGCAATGTAATAGAGTAAGAGATATAGGCACCAATTGTCTAGGCTTTCCCTTTTTCATGGAAGGTGTCTTATGGTCAATTGACTCTTTAATCTAGTGTGATTGTTGAAGTTCTAGTTTCAGCTAGTTCTTTTTAACTTTTGAACCCTGTCTTGTTGCACTTCATTTTCTGGTGACTTACATGGGTTGTTCTGATGAAAACTAGTGTTATATACGACCTTCTATTGTTCCTTGTTCAATAGTTCCTCATTACATTTATTAAAAAGCTGTTCTTTAATCATCAGTACCATTCTAGTGCTGGATGTGTGTTTTGTTTTTTGGGTTTGCAATATAATCATATTTTTGAACCGACGTTTTTATTGCTGAATACTTTACTTTTGATGGAAAGTTGATTTTGGTTGTATCTACTGTTTCTGGTTGGCTTTGGGTTTGTTCTATGACATGACAGGATTTAACGGTTGACCTGGTTAATCACCTTTAGTAATGCAACTTATGTATGCCAATCAAATGGAAAAACGAATCTTTATCAGGTGTTTTGCTTGCCAGAAGGTGATTTTTAGGATTTGGTGGTGTATGCCAAACAAATGGTTGTGGATTTGTTCTAGCTTTTACCTAGAGTTACCTAGAGTTAGTCCTAGGATTTCATGAGGCTTCTCAGGCATAGTTCCTTGACAAGTTCCAGGGTCTTTTTTGGGGGATAAATTGCATATAAATTATTTGGTCTTGTCATTTTTCATAACTGAGATTCCAGAAGTGTCATTTTGTCCAACTGAGGTTTTGAGACAGTTTTAGCATGTTTGCTGCAGCAGACTGATTTTAGTAACATTCTTATCTTGATTTGTAATTATGAAAAGATGGTTAACATGGAAGCATTTTTCTACTCAAAGAATTCATGATCCTTCACACAAGCAAAGGTCTGGTGGAAAGTGCATTAGCATTCATACTCATGAGACTGGATGGCTTGTTTGCAGTTGAATCCAGCAAACCTAAATATCATATCGTTACTGTTTTCAGTGGTGAACTATGTTCTCTACGATTAGACACCAAAACCAGTCTGAGCTTTTCTTTTCCACACTATAGTCTTTTGCAAGTGCACTTGGTGTCACACAACTTTATCTTCTCATAGGGTAGAAATCACAGCATCCAGGCCTTTAGGGAAAGAGGTTCTCTGATTTGACACCACTCATTCATCATCTTCCATTGTGGCCAATAGTTTGGCCTCCTTATTCATCCTTAGGATCATGTTCTCTGTTATCTGCTTAGTCTTCTCCATCTGATAGTATGTCAGACAGATAAAAGAAAGTTGCATTGTCTGTGGAGCATCTGATGCTTTGTCCTACTTGATACATATAGTTATTTGGACTAGCTATTTGCAATTTTTTTTAAGAGTTCAAATAAAATACATGTCCCCAAACCCCCTTCTACAAACTCTCAAATCTCACATGGCCTCTCACAAGCTTGACCTATAAAGCCAACATTGGCAGGTCATATTGAACCTACCGTAGGAGGGGTCACATGGCAAGTTTGTGAGAGGCAAGTGATAGAAGTCATGAATAACTTTCTTTTTAAAAGAAATTTGGTAGCTTTCAGTTTGATACCAATAGCATTGCCATGAACAGAACTCAATAAGGTGAGAGGATTCATGTAGCTTGTTCATATATTTATTGTTGTTGTTGTCATTGTCATCATTGTTCCAGAGCTTCCTCCTAATATTTTGTATCCTCCTAATTCCTAATAAACAGGCAGGTCGAGAATGTTTTTGGAAGAGAACTTAAATAAAACCTCAAAGAATCCAAATAAGGATATGAATTCAATAGGATTTCCTCTTATGATATGTATCATGTTAAATATCAACATGTTTAAGATGATAGATTAGATATGATTTTCATCATTTATTCTCCAGTAACTAAATTTTGTAGGAAAAAAAATATTTCGTCATGTAGAATAAATAACAGATTAGAGCAGGTTGTAGTTTGAGAAAGGTTATGCATCCTCACATCTTATGCTAGAATATAGATTGAGTGACAAATCTTACACTAACAAGAATCTTGTAGTCAATAAAGCAAAGAACAGTAACCATAGTGGAAACTTTGGCTTTGCACTTTCTGAAGTGCAGACAAATGGCATTGTTGCTTTATAAGATTGTTGCTAAAGTTGTTCCCCATACTTAAAAAGACTATTCATGCATCATCTACATGGATATCATTTTCTTTCTAATGACATTGAATGCTAGTGTAAGGCTTTCTGATGCCATGGCATCGGTAACTCCATAGTCCACTATGTTATGCTGGAGTTCCCTCTCCTTTTCTCCCAAAGAAGGTTGTACACTAGTCATTGTATTTTTGCAAGTTAAATAGCAGAAAAATAAAAGCAGCAGAAATGTTGGAGAAGCCAATGTTCCAACTAATACTTGATTCTGTTTCATCACCTTTCATGGTACTGTTCTTGAGACTAAGAAATGCTAGTTTTGATTATTCATGCACTAATCATAACTAATTTTTTTGAAAAGTTGGTCATTTAATGTGGCAATCATATTTGTTCTGGAGTAAATGTTGCTTAAAATCATTCTTATGATCCACTATTAGCCGCAAATGAGAATCTGGCAAGAAGCTGACCTACAATCATGTTACAATCAGTAGAATTGCATAACATAGCTGTACTGTTTTGTTATCGACTTTAGTTTTTTACTCGTTATCTTGTATTTCTATTTTTTTCTAGTATAACTATCTACTGTTGGTGCTTTTCTCTCATGTTTTTGTGTATTCCTTTTTTCTCATTATTGTATGCTAATTGAGATCATTTTGAATATGATTCTTGTGGACATTTTCCTCCCTTTTATTCTTTCAAAGAAGAAATCAGACAAACTGAAAAAATGTGGTATAGTTTCAGGAATGAAGTTTTTCTTAACTATGGTTAAATAATTGAACATGTTCATTGGTGGAGGCAGGATCATATCTTAATTAATTTGCTTTGCAAGAAGGAAAGAAATATGCATCTACTTTTAAACATTTCTTTCATATTTACCAAGCATTCCAAAGTTTATCATCTGACACTGCACCAGAGAATCAGGACACACTGGTAGTCAACATAATAGTTAGCTTTCTTTCACTCTCAAAAGAAAAAAAAAGGTGATTCCAGTCTCCAATCCGTATCATTGATGGTAGGAAGCATCATTTGCAATGATTCTCATTTGTCTAAGCTATCATTTTCTCACCTTTATAGTGGATGATTCTCCTTTTATAGTTACTCATTCTCTTAATATATTATAATTTATCTTGTATCCTAATTGTGATCGACAATGGTATTGTAAAACTTTATGAACTATGCCTGGGGTGGGGCCATGTGACTCGCAAATGGCACCTTTATTTTCTTATTTCAGAAGATCTTGCTGAAATCTAACTAATATCTTTGTACTTCTCTTTTCAGAAGCTGTTTTCATCTTTAGCATGCTTCTCAAGGCAAAAGTTGGGCCTCTGGTGAATCTAACTACATATTGTTTGGCGAAACTCTACCATGCTGTAAATGCAGGACACTGAAGCTACTTTATGTGATTAAGTGGGTGGTGCTTTCAGAAGTTTGTGCAAAGTCTCTTCTTCCAACATGAAGAATCAAGTAGATAGTTGACCTGCTGGGGCATTTTTTTCAGGTGTGTTAAACATTATTTTTTGTAGTATGATGTTTTTTGTCTCGGAAGAAAATATATTCTGCATGATGCTCTGCAAGTGCAATTCTACAAATTCCATTCAGAATAATTGCAAAGCAGCTATCATTCAGCTTCATACTGTCACTTCTGCATCATTTTGTTCAACACTTTCCAGGTGTCTAGACACTCAACCACTTCCAAAAATTCTCTTTTTTTTCTCTCACAGAAAATGCTTTGTATTTAAGGTTAAGAGCCTTCTTTATATGATATTTATCATATCATATTCTATCCACTAGCCTAGAAGCTTTATTTACTCGATGCATTGCCTCAGATTCTTCTGCTTATGTTTTGCGCCTATATGGTTTTTACTAGTTCCATCACTTCTCCATTAATATTACTGCAGCAGTTCCAAATGTTTGTTCACAGAATCATGTCAAAAAATCATTCTTATAGTCCACTTATACTCCAATAGTTTCAAGCTCATGTAATGTCTCAAACTGTTACTTTCCATCATTATGAATTAAATAGATTGTATGCATGTAAGAAGAGTTGTCAAGACGGTCGAAGCATATGCTTTTCTTGAATCTCTTCAGTACACAATGTTAAGAAGAAATAAGCAGGTAGGACATGGTAGACAAAGATTGAGGTCTTCTAGGTGATCAAGTTACAGCAAATCATTGCATTTATTAGCTTATATAGTTTAGAAGTTCATGATCTTTTGTGCTAAATTCTCAACATTATCATCACATCAGTGAGTTGAAACTGAAGATAACACTTTCACATCTAGTGATCCAAAGTTTTCTATTATGATGTATATTTAACTTGTTTATCTTGCAGGGATGTTCACTTTTAGCCAATGTTTTTATGTTGTGATAACACTTCACAAAGACTAAAGAGAGATTTAATTCATTTTTCTCAGATATAATACATCAAGCTCTCATCTAAAGAACAGTTGTTATCCAACAACTGACCTGTTCATTTGTGAAAAGTTGATAGTCAAGCTCATTGTGACAACACATGAAATTAAAGTATTATATCTGAGATAAATGAATTAAATATTTCTCTTTTGTGAATTCTTCAACCCATCATCATTGAGGTTGGAAATTAAAGTATTTATGCATATTATCTTTCTTGTTTTCTTGTATTTTCGTACACTGATTATTTGACTTAAAACATATGCATACATAATAGGAGTGAAAACATATAAGAATTCTCTATAATTTTATTATGAATTATTTTTGTTCTTTGCTTCATGAGAATAAAATAAGTTATTGATGGATTTAGTGAAAGCAACATTGGAAAAGCAGGAAAAGAATTGTTTTAACAATGTGAGAAGCAAAAATACCCTTAATTTGAAAATTATTAAAAATATCCCTAAATTTTTTTAATAAAATTAAATTTATTTTAATTTATTGATTTTTAATTATTATAATATTTTTAAGTATATCTTGTAATGTTTTTGTTATGGTGACAAAAACTGGTCGAAAACACTATAATAGATTAAAATATTATAATACGCGAAAAAATGATATTTTTAATTCTTTATATATATATATATATATAAAGAAATGGGGTCGAAATCAATGATTCAATGTCTGCAGCGTATCCGATGCCTGCCCCACCACAGCCCTCCATGTGGCAATATCTTGCTTATCTCAGCGGTAAATCTTGTAAAGCCATGAGGTGACTCACATAGAATCTTTCCTTACCTGTTGGCTTAAATAGACACGCTCTGGGATGGCGAAGCATCGAGCGTCCTCGACGGACATGGACGTGGGAATGGGTTGGTGGGGGAAGTGGAAACCCGTCCTGGTGATGCTGGCCATCGTCGTGGCCTACGCGGTGATGAACATCATGATCAAGAAGGCGATCGACGAGGGCACCAACCGGCTACTGCTCATCACCCTCCGGCAGCTCATCGCGGCTCTGATCCTGTCACCCATCGCCTACTTCCGCGAGAGGTATAAGACGTTCCATTCCAGCGCTCCAATCGAGTGTTCCTGCTGTGTACACCATGATGCATGGCTTCTGACTCCAGGAAGACGAGGCCGCCTCTCACCGCCGATATCTGCGTCCATCTCTTCTTCAGCGCAGCACTCGGGTAACCTTTTCCTGTAATCCATCTATACGCTTGAGAAAGTACGCCTGAAACCAACAGATCTGTTCCTCGTTGCAGCGCGGCGCTGACGCAGTACCTCTTCCTCCTCGGCCTGCAGTATACTTCGGCCACCTTCGCGTGCGCTTTCGCCAACATTCTTCCTGTGCTCACCTTCCTGATGGCGTTACTCTTCCGGTATCTCTCTGTTGTTGCTGCTAATAAGCTTGCAGGCACGTTAACGACGAGATTGCCGCGTCTCTCTCTCTCTCGCTCCTGCAGGCTAGAGACGCTGAATCTGAAGCGGACGGCGGGGATCGCGAAGGCGATCGGGGCAGCCGTGTGCATCGCCGGTGCAATGCTGCTATCGCTATACAAAGGCGTGGCTTTGACCAGCTCACCTCACCCATCGAGGGCGTCGGATCCTCGGCCGACGCACCTCGCCGTCGACTACACCTCGAGACAGTGCTTGATGGCCACGGTTGCGCTGTTCGCCGCCTGTCTTTGCTACTCCTCGTGGTTCCTCGTCCAATCCAAGGTCGGCAAGAAGTACCCTGCGCTGTATTCGGGCGCCGCGCTCGTCTTCCTCATCAGTTTCCTTCAGGCCGCCGCGCTGAGCTTAGCCATTCAACGAAGCTACTCCATGTGGATTCTGAAGACGAAGCTGGAGTTGATCACTGTTCTGTACTCGGTATGCGATCCGATAGCATACAATTCACTCGAAATCCTTGAGATACTTACGACTCCCTTCACCTTCGTCGCAGGGGATAGTGGGATCAGGGATAGGGTTCTTGGCCATGTCATGGTGCGTGGAGAAAAGAGGACCACTGTTCACCTCTGCATTCACTCCTCTCATACAGATCATCGTGGCCGTCATCGACACCTCCGTCCTCCATGAACGGATCTACCTCGGAAGGTACTCCTGCTCTGTGCTCGTCCATTACTCCTTGCAGACACCGATTCATGCCTAGTTTCTTGCTTTCTGCCAGTGTTCTTGGGTCTGCGCTCGTGATCCTTGGTCTCTACTTCCTCTTGTGGGGCAAAAGCAAAGAAACCCGTAATAGTGAAGTGAAACCTGCGGAGGGCAACGAAGAGAACAAAGTGCAGCTGCAAACAGTGTAGTGACCAGGAAAGCAGGATCCTGATGCCATTGCTGTGTCCACTACAAAAGCATCAGTAGCAGAAACTTAAGCTCGAGTGACAGAATCTGCAGAAAGTGGTGTTCAGTACCAATTATAGTCCAAGTAAAGATAATGCAAACTACTATTGGTTTAATGGTTACCATGATTAACTACTGTTCTTCCTTGCACATCTAATCTGATTTCGACGCCCATACTATCTTAATTTTGTGATTAATATCATTTCATCTAAAAGCTCAAACTTATATAGATGATGATATGATCTCATTTATATTCTTAACATCAGCTTAAAGACCTTAGCCCATATCATATTTGCTGTGGTTTTGTTGGGCCTTGGAATGCTTGCGGCCCAATGAATCCATTCCACAAGAGAAACTGATATAAGGATATATAAAAGCCAACCCTATATATATATATATATATATATATATATATATATATATATACACACACACACACACACACAAAATGGCAATGTCAACATCACATGTGTAGATTTGCAACCTTTGATATGGATATATAGCATGAGACCTTCTTTAACCTGTGGCACCAGAGAGGCAGTGATGGAAATAGAAGGCACCCTTGTTTCTTCTTCTCCATCTTCCTGCAGAAAACAAGGCAACTCATCTATCAATATGCAACATCAGATGATTCAGAAGCTATGACTAGGGATTACCAGTGCTACTGATGACACCAAGATCATGTGACTTACATGAATCCCAGGAACCAGTATCACTATCACAGCATGCTCTTGAGATGTTATGATTAGCTCATGAAGAAAGGAGAGATTAGGCAGTGGATAACCATAAATTAAGGCTAAGTTTTGGTGATTATGTGACAATCCTGTAATGATATTTTTTTCCCAAAAAAGATATTTGTCATATGCTATATGGTCTAATTAATGGCTAGCAAAAAAAGTAAACTTCATTTCTTATCTCAAGAAATTCTAACATGTTTGAATCTGATAATTCTTAATATTGTGCAATGTCAAAGTAGATATGAAAGCATTTGCAAATCATTAATTTGTTTACTACATATTTTTTAGAAGGGAAAATCTACAATTATTACAAAATCCCCAAAGACTATATAGTATTATTATATAATATTCACTAAATCATTAATTCTAACTGAAAGGATAATTACATAATTAGATGTATACTCCATAACTTAATAGCTTAAGCTTTAAATTTAGATTTTTGATGGTGTCTAAAACTCATCAACCACAATCTTCATCGGTTCGACTCACATCGAATGCTAAAATAAAAATAAGATAAAAATCCAACTCCATAATGAGCTCATAATCACAAGGAAAAAAAAGGAACTTCAGATATGCTCTTTATTTTCTTCTCCTCAGAAGCTGGCAACATTAAGAACAATGGTGAACAGTATCAGTTCCATATGCCTTCATTTCTCGTTCTACTATGTGTCTCAGAGAGAGAGAGAGAGAGAGAGAGAGAGAGATCCAACATCACAAGCTTCCGATACGTCCTCGACAATCCAAAGCAAGTGGCAAGTGATCTGTACTGAAGGTAGAATAAAGCTGAAGAACCTACAAAGAACAAGACAACAACAGATAATTGAATTCTATTCTATTGAGAATCGTACTGTAGGAGAAGGCTACGAACAAGATAGAGGAGGAGCATGATAATTACTTGATAGCTGAATCCAAAAAGATAAAAGTAGGCAGATGCATCATGCATGCATGATTGACCAATCAAATAGTTTCAGCTGAATAAAAATGAATACAGCAGTAGCGACATCTAGTTCTTCCTTCCCCTTCCTTCTCATCACAAGTGCTTCAGCTCAATTGCTATGTGCTACACAATCGACACAATGGTGGAGTCTAAACCACATATATGGAGAGAGGATGCCTTCTTCCTTATTCCTTCCTCACTGCATTGTGATTGCAGGTACATTGGCTGGCTATTCCGGGCTGATGTCAGTGAGTGGACTCAGCACCTCAGGTGCTCCACCAGCGAGCAGGCTGCAATGATGGCGGGGATTGGGAGTTGCTGCTGCCCTCCGCGTCCGGCCACTCTAGGTTTACTCCGAACAGCCTGAGCTGCTTTGGCTTAGCTGTGCCGAAGACCACCGGAACTGAGCCTGAGACCAGCGGCATGCTCACCATGTCACTCCTACCTGCATCTGCTTGCACCCCTACATGTCGCGGACATGCCGATCGGTAGTAGAAGGACGATGCGATGAATCCGCTCCACTGTCCCACTGGCCGTCCGGGAAGAGAGAACTGCGTGATGGGACGCGGAGGGCGGTGCTGCAGGTCGATGAAGAGGCGGTCCTGCCCAGCGTTGCCGGCGCTGCGGAGGAAGGACACAGTGTCACCTGCAGCGAGCTGCTTCTCCCTCACGAAGCGGCTCCACCCCTTGGTCATGACGTAGCTCTGGCTGCTGTTCCAGTAGGAGTAGCGGAAGCACCATTGCTTACCAGCAAGGTCCTCAAAGGACATGATGAGGCCCTTGACGGCAAGAGACGGGTCGAGGGGGAGGAACCTCTCCGCGTACTGCTTTGGGATCACGAGGCGGTTCAGCTTCCCGACATCGCTCGGTGTCACCACCTTGTCGAACATGTGCTCGCGATCTAAAAGAGGAGCCGCCGGCGCTTGTCCATTCTCCGATGGGGGAACAGAGGGAGAAGACGAGGAGGTGTCGTATACCCTAAACGCCTCCATGACTCAACCCTGAAGCTTTCAGTTCTTGAAAGAATACAGATCCAGCCTTGATCTCCTACGCTTCAAGGCATTTCTCTTTTCTTCCCTTCTCTTGATAGGCCGAAGCCCGAAAAATAAGGCAGAAGGAAGGAGGCTGCTTGCTGACGAGTCTGTATTGCTAGTGAATCCCACTGGGTCTCCAAGAAGAGAGAGAGAGAGAGAGAGAGAGAGAGAGAGAGAGAGAGAGAGAGAGAGAGAGAGAGAGAGAGAGAGAGAGAGAGAGAGAGAGAGA